ATATATATATTCATGCCTTAATTTCCACTTGCACAAGTGTGTCATATTTACTAAAGTTTGTGAACCCACCCAACAGGGCTAATTCCTCAGTGCTAGTAGAAATACTTATTTATAGTTAAATCAACAGTAATTGTATAAAAGTAAATCATAAATGTAAGAAATAAAGTTTTAAAGTACAGAATCCAGTAGTAACTGAAGTATTTTATCAAAAACATGTCCTAAAAAAATATAGTACACTTCTAGGGAGTCACGGTGACACTGTGTGCAGAGTAGAATAATGTAAATGTGGGGGTCAGTCATACTTTTGCAGAATTCCAATTTTAAAGGATAAACAGTCTAGTACAAATAAGTATATAAACATTGAGTGTATGACTGACTCTCCCACTAAGTATTGCTAAAGTTCACTATTGAATATTTTCTGCTTTCTCACGTGAAGGTATTGAACCAAACCATCTTCGGTGCTTAGAATTTTTATAAGAGGATAAGCTTTAAAATCTTACGTGTCCATCTACAAAATAAACTTCCACACTGTTCTATGCTACTTAAATGTTTCACAGTTGCCTAACAATAATTTGGTATGAAATGTAGGGAGTCCACTTTGACAATGAAGTATAATATGCCTCTATTTTGTTGGTTATTTTATTTTCAGTCTTTAATTAACCAAGAATGAGAGTATGTTAGTTAAGGCAAACTATTGAAATAGGTTAAATGTATTTTATACAGTTCACCCACCATTCCAATGGCCTTCGACACCTTCACCCTCACCTCTAGAGTTACTACCCTATAATACTTCATAAAGCTTTCCTAATATTAATTCCATACACCTTTATCGTAGAGCCTCCTTTGTCGTTTTTTCTATAGTTCCAGTCCTCAGACTCTGCATGGATAAGAGCTCACTAATTTGACAGATTATTCCCTAACAATTTGTTAGATGGCTGTTGTTTTTCTCTTAGTCCGTCAGTCCCTTACACAAGAAACCATTTATATTTTAAGATAAGACTTTTGGAGAAAATGCCCTACTCTTGAAGTGTAGCTAAAATTTCAGAGACTGCTGCAGGCTTGTGGAAGAAAATATTTTGAGCAGTAGTTTTCTAGTATCATTTTCATCACCACAGACAAGGTATTTTAACAATAGCCCAACACTGTCTCTATAAATGAAAACTTCCTTGTTCCAGTTTGTCAGACTCCAATCCTTGGAATCCTTTATTGCTCTGTGTCTGTTTATTGATTATGTTCCCACATTCGATTGCTTATCAAATCTAGTCTTAGCTAATGCCAAATGATACCACCATTCATCTACTCTCAGTACCTCAATTGCTACTCTACTTTGGCCCGAGTGACCAACACCTTTAGCTTGAGTCACTGTGATAGCCTCCTAAACTATTTTCCCTGCTTTTTTTCCATCTCATCCAGTCCCTTCAGTCTCTTTCCAACAAAACTGTCAGACTGATCTTACTCAAAAACAGGTTTGATCATGTTCCTCCTTTGTTAACATATTTTTTCACCATAAAAGCCAAAGTCCTTGAAAGAACCTAGAGCATCAGTGCTTTTGCTTCCTCCCTGTTGCAGTTCATCCTACTCTCTCACTCGGTCGCTTTGCTCCGCAGCGTTAGTCTCCAGGTCTCTCAAATATGTCAAGTGCTCTTCTGCTTCAGGCCCCTTGAATTTGTTCTCCCATTTACTTTAATGGCCTCTTTCCCAGACAAAGGCATAGTTGACTACTTCATCCCTTTCAGGACTTTGTTCATATGCTCCTTCTCTGTAAGTTCAGCTCTGGGCACCCTGTGCATTTCCCATCATCTTTCCCTGTGCTACTTTTGTGCTTCACAATTTTGCAATGAAAATATAATAATTTACAGAAACTTGTCCTTGATTTGTAAATTGGATGCAATTGATTGTGGGAATTGACTAACCTTCATGCTTGATAATGCCACCAGAAAGTATTTTAGTTGCATATATTAAATAAAAATATTAAAGTTTCTCACTTTGCAGATGTTACAAAATTTAAAAACATATCAGATAAGGATTTTTTTGTGAAATGCATAAAAGATAAGTCACCCTAAATACACTGAATAAAACTATTTAAACCAGAAATAACATTTATTTTATTAGAGAAAAGTAACAAAAAAGCAAAGTCTCCATCTAAATGTGTGTGTTTTTTTCCTGTGATTATATCACTTTGACTGGACTATTATTCAACAGAGAAGTCCTTCAAATGTAATTGCAAAGTCAGGGACCTACAGGGAAATGGGGATCAAAAGCTCTCATCACTCCAGATGCTACAAAGCCTTTCCTTCCAGATGCTACCGATTTTACTCCCCAGGTATTTTTAAATTAGGAATCTGTCTTCGGCGGTACAGGAAGACAAGAGGTCAAGCTCAATCAGATGATTCACCTAAACCTATTGAAAAAGGAAAGTGTCCTAGGAGTCGTGTTGCTATTGTAAAGGATTATTTAGTGAATCCGATTGCTGAGTTTCTAAATATCTCAGCAGTTTGACAAAACCTGATATCTTGACTTGATTAGGCCAGAGTCTGAAAATAGTGAAACCTTTATCAGAGTCTGAAATCACAGCAGCTGCTCAGAAATACTGATTGCTGCTTACTGTGGGAAAAGCAGGGTGTAGCTGCCCTGACTAGAATGCCAGTTACATTTTAAGGACTGACTGACTTTTCAGCAGAAACCAAGGTGACATACTTAGATTCCTGTTCCTAAATTATATTAATAATTACTTATGAAGATAACTGTAGAATACAGATATATATTCTTGTGTGAGTAGCCTAAAAAGAGTGAAAAGCATGACATTTTAAAATACCCACGAAATAAACCTGTCGTTCATTGGTTTTTTGTTGGTATTGAGTTTATCCAACAAAGCCAATACATACCAAAAATCCACTCCGTTGTATTGTTCCTTTCTAACTCAGACGGAGGTTATTATTGACAAACATCAAAGGTTGTTCTCAGACATTTGTATCCAAAGAATGAGAGCGGAAACCAAGGGATGCATGTTTATCGACTATTTATTCTAAACACTCCCAGGCATCCCATGTCATTATTAGGGCAACTCATTAATGCCAAAATCAAACTCAGACTTACTCATATGGGAAATAAATCCTCACAGATAGAAAGGAAGGAGGGAAAGAGATGGGTTAAAAGCAAAAGAAGTTGAAGTAAATGCTTTTTAAAATTGTGGTGGTTATTTAAGGATCCAAGTGAATAATACTTTTCACAAACAAATAATATTATTTCTAGCAGAGTTTCAAGTCACGTACAGTTACAAAGAAGCTGTCCGATGTCAGATGAGTCACATAACGTCTTTGTTTTTTCATGCTATCACCTTTGCTATGAGGAGAACTGATATCAATCAATCAAACAATAGGAAAACGCGGGGGCCGCGGGTTTGAAACAATTCCGTGCGCGGAGCGCCCGCGGGGCCCCGCTGCCTGGGGCACCCTGCAGCCCCAGGCCCCTCAGACCCAGAAGGTCGGCTCTTTTTTTGTAGAGAGATGAACGTTCGAAGGTGTCCCCAAACCTGTTCGGAGGCAGCAGAAGCGAGGCCTGCACCCCCCGACCCCGCGCCTGC